AACCTGGCCTTGAACTTGCCATCCTCCTGCCTCAGCCCCCTCACTGGTAGAATTATAGGCATGTACACTGTCCCTGCTGATCTTTAATTATAATTTTCTTTAACAAAAACAGAGATGATTTTATTTTTCAGTTCACTTATTGTATCTTTCAGCATCAGTGTGTACATCGTATATAACTATATTCTAAAAGAGAATTACTACAGAATATTATATGAATGATAATTGTGTACTTTTAATGATTATTTGTAGTAATTTCTGCCTCTACCAGCAGTATATGTGTTGGCATACTTAGCAAGTATTTTTATTGGTAAATCCTTAAGTGTGGAATTGCAATAGGCAAAGGATACTCAGATTTAAAATTTTACTAGATACGATGTTGTAAGAATGGCTTCAAAATATAATTATACCCTTCCCATAGTGAATTTGTGTTTCTACCTTACCATGTTATTATTATATTGTAATCTTTATTTTGCTATTGTGTAGGGAGAAATGAATTTAGTCAGCCCACTGCCTTTTGGTTTTTGCATCCATTGATTCAACCAAACTGAGGGTGAAATGTTGGGAGAAACTGTGTTTGTACTGGACATACTGAGCTTTTCTTCTAATACAGTGTAACAGTTATTTATGTTGCATTAAGTATTATAAATGTTATAAGATTATTTAGGGGTAGGATGTTCATAGGCTGCATGGGATCAGACCCAGGGCGACCTTCATGCATTTGAGGCAGGTGCTCTGCTAATCCCCCGCCCCTTGCAGCATCCCGGCGAACACCTTGTTTTTCCTTGAGTGACTTACTTGTTCTTATTTGTTGTTCATTTTCCTGTTGTTGATTATCTTATCCTTTATTTTCTTTTATCCTTTGTATAGGGTAAAAAGTTAAGAGAGTGAGGACATTGTGTTATTTATTATCCTATCACATCATAGAAGAGATTCTGAAAATTTGATTCAGTTGATGTATGTCAATCCTGACTTTCATACATGTTGCTATCTAGTTTAAGATTTTAATAAACTCAAGCTGGCAAATATTTTCATTTTTGGATGTTAAGATTTAAGTTATTCTTAAATATTTTCTGTTAACTTTTCTGGAGAGAGAGAGTGTGTGTGTGTGTGTGTGTGTGTGTGTGTGTTTACAAATATGTATCACACCCATCTTCCTGGTATATGGTAGGGATGAACACTCCCTTGCTTCCTTCCTCTTCACCATGTATGGTTTATTTGTACATGAGTTTGTGTAGTACATGGGTTTCCCTTTTTTAGTTTCCTTTCCACCTCGGGGAAAGGAATTATCTTCGTATGGGGATGTAATTGTCTGGCAAGATAGAATTACGATTACCTTGTGTAGGAAAACTAGATGTACAAATTTACAGTGTTTCATATATTGATAGAAACTGTGCCCATTCAAAAGCTGTATTTGCTGGGGTTTTTTGTTTGTTTTTTGCTGGAATGTAGAGGGCTCTACAAAACATGATAGACAAATAGTTTGTTGTTATGTTAAATGCTCTGTTCATATTGAATATCAACATGTGTTTTCAATCTTATGTATTGAAAATTAAGTGAGTAAAATTTCTGTTGTAAATAATGTATGGTATAGTTTCTACTCTAATTATTACATACTAGAAAACTGGGGAAAAGTCCCTTTTTGGACCAAGATAGAGAGTATGCAGTAGTTAATGTGGGAAAAAGTGAGTTATTCTTAAATATTTTCTGTTAATTTATAAATGAGTAATGTGATATGTTTTGTTCTATGTACACCGGTGACACCGTCATAACAATCAGGAGTGAATGTATCTATCATATCTGAAAGTTTCTGACCCTTCACTTCTCCCCTGTTTTTCCCTCTGTCTCTTATTCTTAGAAAGACATTGTTTTACTTCGTATAACAGATTCATGTGCTTTTTTTTTGGTGCTGGGGGTCGAACTCACCACCTAGCGTTTGCCAAGTAGGCACTTATGCTGCTGAGCTAAACCCCTGGCCTCGTGTGCATTTTGTAGAATTTGTATATAAGTAACATTTTTATATTGTGTGCCTTTTGTTGTTGTAGTCTGTGTTGTTGATTTTTCAGTAATTAGTTCCTTTTATTTCTGAGTAGTGTTCTACTGTATGAATGTGCCAGCATTTTATTTTATTCATTTACCTTTTAGATGTATGGGGGTTGTTTGTGGTATGTGGTTATTGTAAAGAAAACTGCTATGAGTATTTTTTGTGTGGGCATGGCTTTTATTTCTCTTTAGTAAATGTCTTTTAAGAGTAGAATTACATATACAATAAGTATATGTTTAACTTTTTTAAAATGTTGAAACTGTGTTACAAAGGTTCTGTTCTATAGTCCTGCTAAATGTCTTTGACACACAGCCTTACGAGTCTTGTTGACATGTTGATTCTTTTAAATTGATTGATTCTTGTGGGTATATAATGCTGTATTACTACAATTTTAATATGCATTTTTCTGATGACTGCCAATACTGAATATCTGCCAATACCGCCAATACTGAGTGCCTTCTGAATGTCTTGCTTAGTGAATTGGTTGTTCAGATCTTTTTGAAAATTGTAGTATTTTCTTACAGAATTTTGAGAGTTCTGTGTTAGTGACAAACACACAGTAGGTAATTTATAAGTAATAGAAGTACATGTGGTCATGACTCTGGAGGCTAAAAAGTCTAAGATCAAGAGAGACAGTCCTCTGGGAAGGATTGTCTTGCTGTAGCATAGCATGGTAGAAGGCATCACATGGTAAAAAAATCATATTGAGAGAGGACAAGCGGAGACTAGACTCCCATGCGTAAATCCGTTCCTAAGTTAACATTAATCCTCATGATCTGAAACCTCCCAGTACTGTGGCACTTCTCAACATCGTTGCCTTGGAAGTTAAGTTTTTAGTGTAAGAATTCGGAAGGTCACATGCATATTTTACAGATCCTCAAGTCAGATAGTATAAGCCCCTATAGTTTTGTTGTTTTCCCAAGTAGTCTTGGTATTTTTAAAGTCATTTTGAATTCTATATGACTTACTGCCTCTTCCTCGTATTTGAGATTCAACTCAGACTGTCACTCATGCTATGCTCACATTCTGCCCCAAAGCTGCTTCTCTATTTCAAGTCTGCTAGCATTTCCATTGGGATTGTGTTGTCATTTGTACACAATTTCTGGAGATCTAACCTCATAGGACTAAAGCATTTTCTGATCTCTGAGGCTTATACATCTCTTCACTTATTTAGTACTTGAATTTCTCTCAGCATTGCTTTATAGTTTTCAGTGTATGGGTAGGTCCTGTACATTTTTTGGTCAGGTTTACCTAACAAATATTTCATAATTTTGATTGTGTAAATAGTATCATTAAATTTTAGTTTCTGGTTGTTCATTGCTTGTAGTTAGAAAACGTTGTACTTTTTTTTATATTGCTGTGATACCCTGTGCTAGCTTATTGGTGTCTTTATTTTTATTTTTTACCTATAGTAGAATTTTTATATGGATTGTTATGCTATTAACAGATACAGTTTTACTTATACCTCCCAAGTCATTTCGTTTTCTTTCTTTACTGCACTAGCTTGACCTCCAGTATAACACTGAATGGGAGTGGTGAAAGTGGGCATTCTTGCCGTTTTTATCCTCTTTGGAAGAAACCTTCAATTCTTTATCCCTAAGCTTTTTATGGTTGGCCCTTGTCAAGTAAAGAAGTTTGATAACTGAGAAGTTTAAAAAAAAAACAGGCATGGATGTAGCATTTTGTCAAATTACTGTTGAATGGTTATAATAATTTTCTTTTTTTGTTTGTTAACAATGAGTTTACATTGATTTTGGAATAGTCAGCAAACCTTTAATTTCCAACACAATTTGTACTTATCCTTTTAATGTATTGATGAGAGAGAGAGATAGAGAAAAGACACACCAAGTAACTGAGGATGTTACTCTATGTGAACACTTGAATGTGCTTTTTGCTCCTGATTTTCAGTATAAACATGGTTAAAAGCCACCAGTAGTACTCATGCCACAGTCTGAACATTGGACTACTTTGAAATTTCCTCTGCCAGATAAACCCACCTGTAATTCAATCCACCACCTTTAATTGCAGTCTCCCACAAGGTCTCAGGACAGAAGCAAAATGTCAACAGGTTTTCTGCCAAGACATACAGCACATGTTGTCTGGTCTAGCTGCCATTGGAGTCCTTATGCTTAACTGAAATATCCTAAGCCTGTCCAGAGTCCTGCATTAAGTTTGGCTCTTAGCATTCTAGGCCTTTTCTAGCCAGCATCTTCAAACCTTTCCAAGCTTACCCCACCAACCAGTTCTGAAAGGTTCTAAACCATATGGTCAGGTTGTCACAGCAGTGACCCTACTCCTCCTGTTATCAGCATCTGACTTAGTCATTTTTCAGGGGACAAAATACCCAACACCCACGAAGGAAGAGCAGTTTATTTTGGCTCACCATTATAAAAATTTCAGTTCATTATTGGCAGGCTGAAATGGAAAAACAGCATAATGGAAGAGCCTGCTGCAGAAGAAAGCTGCTTACATCTTGGCAGCCAGGTAGCAAAGAGGTAAGAGAGGAGCCTGGGAAGGAGATAGATCCCTCAAGTCCCACCACTACTGCCCTGCCTCTTCTGACCAGACCCACCTCCTAGTAGCACACTCACTTAAGAATACATCATTGAATTAGTCCATGGTTGAGCACAGCACCCCCATGGTATATTTTTTATTCATGGTATCTGAGTTCATTTTAAAGGATAACTTCTTTTTCATTATGCTCTTAAAGGTATGGTCAAAGTATTGATATATTGCTTTAGTTTTTGTTTTAATCTACAAAGAAGAAAGTTTGTAACTTAATGATTAGCAGTGAATTGTTTTAGAATAGGTAAGATTTCCTGCTAACCCTTTCCAGTTTTGGACAATGATTTAAGTTAACTGATCAAAGCTTCTAAGTCATTTTCAAGCCATAGACCAAATTGTGGGGACCACTATATAATTCTTCCTGTTTTTTTGGTTTTTTTCTCCTCTCTTACAGGCAAAGTAAGAAGCTTAAGCTCATCTCTGTGGTCATTAACTCACTTGACAGCTTTGCATCTGAGTGACAATTTTTTGTCCCGCATTCCTTCAGACATTGCCAAGCTCCACAATCTGGTATATCTGGACCTATCCTGTAATAAAATCCGTAGTTTACCAGCAGAACTCGGAAACATGGTTTCACTCAGGTATGTAGATTCAACTTAGTACATATCAAGTATATAATTGATGAAACATTGAAAGCATTTATTTTGTTAGGGAAAAAGACAATCCATTTGGTCAGATTTAAAGAAAAATAAGCTATATTCTTTTCTTGAAGGTTTTTTTTTTTTGAAAGATCAAATGTCAACTAATAGGTAATAAATAGTATGATTGAAATTTTTATTGTTATGCTTTGCACAACATATTTTTCTTTGTGGACCAAAAGTTCTAGCCAAAGTAAAGATAAATACCTATAAGGTGTTTGTATTATCCCCTGTGTGATGGATAGAGGAATGTACTGTGCACCCATAACACTCGTGCATGAAACCATTGTCAGTTGCTGAAGACTTTTTTGCTATCCCATGGGGCTTCTGTGTGTGTTAGTATTGAAACTTAGACATGAAAGAAGCTAGGATTACAGTGTTTATTAAATTTGGTATATTGTAGTTCAGTATATATGATTTGAGTGCACACATAGTTTGGGTTAGAATCTGGACTTCGCTATTTGCATTTTATGTGATCTTAGATTTCTCAATCTGATGATAGGGATACTGAGATAGTAACTTAAAAGCTGCTAGTGTCCTGCATTGTACATACTGTATTTTAAAAAATGATACTTCTTTTTAAAAATTATTTTTTAATTAAGGTAGATAAGATCTAGTCAAGTTAAATATAAAGCCAAATTCTAGCTATTATGTCAATCCCAGTTTACTGCTGTGAGCCAAACTTAATGTGGGACTTTGGACAGGCTTAGAATGTTTCAGTAAATAGGGATTGACATATGTTTTATCCATGGTTTTACTCCTTGTTTACTGCCTTATGGGAAGGAGTAGGGTTTTGTGGGAGTTTCTTGGTCTCTCTTGCTTCCAGTCTGGCTTTTTAACATTTTTCTAGGCTCAGTTATTGACTATATACTATGGCCATTTTTTATCTCCAAACAAATTGACTAACAGGGCCTATGTTGCTGTGTGATATATTTAGAAAAAAATAGAAACCATTTATTCAAATCTAGTTTTTCTTGTTCAAATGAAGGCTCTGGTTTGCTTAGAGGTGGTCAAGTTTCATTTAAATTTCACAAAAGAAGAATTACAGAAATAATTCTCCTTCACACTTAAAATTTGGTAAATAAAACTTAGTATGGGAAATTGCCATTATTTCAGTGTTGGATGTCTGTTTGTTGCTTTTATCCCTCTTGATTCTTATAATATTTATATTATGGTTGTTTGCATAGAAAAATCATTAAAATAATTATTAGTAGCTAATACAGCTGCTATTATTTTAAAATTGAAATCTCAGTAAATTTAGGGAAATAGTAGCCATAAATTTAATTGTGCAACTATCATTAGTCCTTTTGAGTTGGCATTGCTTGATCAATTTTTGATTCATGCGCTAAGTGTAATTATTTGCCCTGACTTACACATGTATGATAGACTGCATCTGTGATACCCAGTCCTACTTACTCTGCTCTGAAATAGTCCCAGTTTTCAAGCTGTACATTTCCAGTGTACAGTGAGAGAAATACTGCAATTGAGAGTAATTTTTACATTTCTATTGACTGATTTAAAATTTGGAGATTGTGTTTTTGTGTTTTTCTGAAAATTCATTTGTTTCCATGTATTTTACAGAAAGATTGATCTGTAGCAGTTACTTTTTAAGAAACCCAACAGTAGACGTTGAAATATAATGCAAAGTTTTGTCATTCCTAAGTATTTACATTCCTAAAAATTATATTGTTGCTTTTATCTATTAGTTGACAGTTAATATGTCTTCTTACTTCCTGGCATTTTTGTATCAACAGGGAGCTCCGTTTAAATGACAACCTGTTACGAGTTCTACCTTTTGAGCTGGGAAAACTATTTCAGTTGCAGACTTTATGCCTAAGAGGTACGGTTTCCATATTTGTGCTTCTTATAGTTTTATGTATATCTTTGAAGCTAAAGAAGCCATGAGAGAATTACCAGATTTTTGTGGACTCACTTTTTGCTAAACTTCATAATTCCTTAGATATATCCCAGGGACTTCCTCACTTGGGTATTTAGTAGCTATAGATTGTCTTATTTTTTAATTTGGTATATTGCATATTGAACTCAGGGCCTCACAGTGAGCTATATCCCTGGCTTTTTTATATGTTTATTACATTTCAAAAAGAGTATAGCAGAATTACCCATGCTGGCCTTGAATTTGCTGTTTTCCTGCCTCAATCTCCGTAGTAGCTGAGGTATAGGTGCACACCAAAATGCCTGACTGTATTTTTAACCTGATGTATGAGCCCTTGACTAATGTGTTGGAAACCAGGGCCATAACTTTGGTTCAGTAAGAACTACTATGAAAACAAGTTTATGTGTTTGTTTTTGGTTTTTTGAGACTGTGTAGGCCATGCTGGCCTAGAAATTGCAGTTCTGCTTTCGCCTCCCGAATGCTGTGATTACTACAACGGTATGCCACTGGCCTTGCTTGAATACTTGTTTCTCATCAGCAAGATTGAAAGTCATATTTCAACAATACATAAAGGCTTGTCATTTTTTAAAAATCAGGTTAATTCTTCACTGGTGTTGGCTAGATTATTACACAACTACTTTGTAAAATAATTACTGGAGCTGGGAATGGGGCTTAGTGGTAGAGTTCTTGCCTTACATACATAAGGCTCTGGCTTTGATCCCCAGCACCACAAAAAATAAACAAATAAATAAATTGCCACTCCTTCAAACATTGTACTCCTGTTTCTTAACAATGTAGTTAGTAAGACGAGGTTTTATTCTTTTAAGTCCACTTTATATATTATAAAAAGTTTAGAAAAATAAATGAAAAGTAGCATACATTTATAATGTATATGAAATCATATTCAACAGCTATGTAAATGTTTTCCTCAGGGAGTTTTTATGTGTTTAAAGCATTCTTAAAACAGACTTTTTAAAGGCCTGTGATGTAAATTGAAGGTGATTTTTTCTGTTTAAATTGCCTGTTATGTTCTGCTTCTAAATTTGAAGAACAGGAAACTTCTAAGTGCAAGAAAATATATCTGTGTATTTTTTTTTAATTTTTATTTTGAAAGTATACAACAGAACAAGTCAGAATAAAGCCAGCTAAGATCATACAGTGAAATTGGTACAGAACTTCACAGCAAGTTAACGGGATAACAGTAATAGGTATCACAATATATTTTGTTATCTTTATAATGGTTGTTCTTTCAATCATGTATATCAAAATGAGATGAAATATAGAACACTATAGAACTTATCAAAACAGAATATTGAATAGAGCAGTACCATTAATCAGAAAAGAGCAAAACAGTAATAAAAATATTTGCCTTCAAAGAAATGGTAGAAGGAAATCCCCCTTATTTGCTATGGTCAGCCTCCCAGGAGATGCTCAGGTTTCTGGTTCCCATTTGCTAATGGGCGGGGCGGGGGGGGGAGGAGAAGGAGGATAGGGGAAGTGGGATATTTGACTCTAGGCCATGTAGCAGTAGGTTCACTATTGCTAAGCAGGGAGGCAGCATGGTCATTTGTTTTCACAGCGTCCTCAGTTCCAACATGGCATGGATCTCAGGAGACACTGCTGGTTCTGCCCTTGGAAGGGCTGCAGTCTGCCACCCTGCCTCCATTTACCAGGGAGGGGAGGTGCTTGCTTGGCTTCCCAGAGTCCTAAGCTCCAACATGGCGTGGATCTCAGGAGACACTGCTGGTTCTCCCCTTGGAAGGGCTGCAGTGGGCCACACTGTCGCTGCTTACCAGGGAGGGGAGGTGCTGGCTTAATGTATCCGTGTATTGACCATCAGAATGAAGTATTTTATCACATTCATTCTTTTAATGCAAAAGAAGTCATTACACAGTAAGAAAACTACCATCCTGTGTATTTCCACCTCAGAGTTTTTAAAGCTCACAGTATATAGTTTACAAACTGTAATCCATATTCATTAAGAAGTTGCAAAGTTTACTTGAAGTTTTGGTCATCAGAAACACATTTTCAGAATGCTTTAGTGTGCATAAATCCTCTGAAAAGGATAATACTCTTGAGATGGGCATAGCAGTCTATGGCTGTCCATCATGTTTGATGGACTTTCCTCTCTTAATTCTGCTTTTATGTTTATTGCTTGTAATTACAATATCTTACAAAGACTTTGACTTTTAAATCTCAGCCTTTTGTTACACTTTTGTATGTAGTAGCAGTATTTTTTTACAGGTTTTTTTTTTTTAAATCGTGTTACATTTTTTTTTAAAAGTTTTTGCATCTTACATTCTAGTATTGTGGCAGCTCTTCCTTAAAACAATTGTTATCTTTGCTCTTTGTGAAAATATCGTTGCTTTCTCACAGCTTTAGTTAGTTGGAAGAGATAAAACATATCACCATAACGTAGCCTTGTCATTTGCTGCAACATATAGTCCTACAGACCAAAAGTACTTTTGCCTCATGAGTCAGTTCTTACTGTTTTCTGTAAAATTGATGGCATAGGGCTCCAGGACTTTGGCTTTAGGTATTTACCTCTTCCCCCTGCGTTTTAAGATCTTATACAGTATTTTAAAACGCAGATTGACATACACTTGTAAAAAGTAATACAAAATAGTGTTTGTACCATTTACAAAGTTTCTACCAGTGGTAACAACTTTCAGAACTGTAGTACAGTAACAAACAGAATGGTGTACAGGACATTTTGTGAATTAATCCAGGCATGTGGAGACACATACCAGTGGTCTTGTGTATGAATCTACAAAAAAAGCTGAACTCAGAAGGCAGAGTGGTGATAGGAGAAGCAGGTTCTGCTGATTTATGGCACTGAAGGTGACTAGAGTTAATAATATATCAAAATAGCTAAGAGAATGCATTTTAAATGTTGTGGCTACAAAGAAATAAGTATTTGAGGGGGTAGATATGTAATTTGGTCTGATTTGATGATTCTGCAATCTATACCTAAATTCAAATGTGACATTGTGCCCCATAACTACATGCATTTATCCGTTTTTAAAAATGCAGAACCTAGACATCCTCAGAAGTTCTTCCATGTTGCTGTTTTATACCCATGCCTACTTTATTTCCACTCCAATTTACTCCTTAATTTGTAACAACCACAGGGGTCAAGAGTGTTACATAAAAGCAATCCTGCTGTAAGTAACTTTGTGAGATTGGCTTCTTTTACTCAAGTTAATTTGTTAGATGGTTGATTTAACCATACTGGTTGAAAGACATCTGAGTTTACATTTTGAAACTGTTATAATTTAAGCTGTTGAATGTCCTCCTTACTATGGGTTATCTGGTGAACATGAATCTTTATTTTCTATGCTAAATGCCCAGGACTGTAAGCATTGGGCCCTTGGATTATAGGTTAGTTTTTTAAGGAAATTGGATGTAACGCAATGACAAAAGGGCTGCTGGATTCAATCCCTAGTTCTGGGGAACTTTTTTTGCTGAATTGTTTTCATCTGTATTTTGTCCTTTGTGAAATATCTCTTCCTGTGTTTGCTTATTTCCTAATTTGATTGTTTTTACTGTTAAGTTTTGGAGATGCTTTAAATATTCTAGATGCTAGTCCTTTATTGAAATTGCAGTTTGTACATATTTTCTAGTGATCTGTCTCTTCAAACCAAAAAGTGTTTAATTTTGAGAAAGGCCAACTTATCAGTTTCTTTTCACAGGTTCTATTTATGATGTCAAGTCTAAGGACCCTTAGTAGTTTTAGATTCTGAAAGTTGTCTTAAAAATTTTGAGATTAAAAAAAAATTTAAAAAAAAATTTTTTTTGAGGTTTTATATTTTATAATGAAGTCTGTGATTTCTTTTGATTTAAAATTGATGTGGGGCTGGGGATTTAGCTCAGTGACATAAGCACCTGCCTTGCAAGCAGGTGGTCATGAGTTCAATCCCCAGTACCGATTAAAAAAAAAAATTAAAAAATTGATGTGAGGATTGGTTCAACTGCTACCTCCCATGGATCTCCAATTGCTCCAGCACAATGTATTGAAAGACCACCTTACCTCTATTTAATTGCTTTAACACCCTGTCAAAAAATCATTTTGACATGTTTGTGTGGGTCTGTTCTTAAATTCTCTATTCTGTTCCACTGATCTGTGTGTCTGTCTGCCAACAGCACAGAGTTTCCAGTAGCTTGACAAGTCTTTGAAATAACCTATGCTGATTCTTCTATTTCAGTCTTTCAAAAAAAATTTTTAGCTCTTCTAGTTTTTTTGCCTCTCTGTACAAATGTTAGAATAGTGTTGTCCTAGTTACAAGAATAGTAGTGAGATTTTTATTGCAGTTGTGTTAACTTTATTTTAAACTGGCAGACAAATTTAACATCTTTACTGGGTTGTCTTCCTGTCCAGTCAAGAACATTCTCTGTTTCTATTTATTTACATTGCCTTTGACTTTTTTCATCAGTGTTGTATTATTTTGAGGATACAGGTCATGTACATCTTTTTGCTTTGCATAACTGCAAATTATATTGTTGTTTAAATTTTGCTATGAGTGTATTTCAAGTATTATGATAGAATATTTATGTTTAGCTTCTATTGTCTTGTGAAACTCACTTCTTAAGAGTTGTAGTTAAGTTGTTGGTTTGTTGTTTTGTTTGGTGAGGCTTTTTGGTTTGTTGGTGTTTTGAGGGGTTGTTTTGCTTGGATTTCTTAACTGTATTATTACATGTCATCTGCAAATAAAGATGGTTTTACTTCTCTTACCTTACTACATTTGTTAGAACTTGAGCACTGTGTTAAGATGTAAGAGAGCAGACGTCCTGTTACTGACCTTTAAAAAATTACGTAGCCTTTTCTTTGACAGAGTCTTGCTATGTAGTTCGGGCTGGCTTTGAGCTCACTGTGTAGCCCAGGTTGGCCTCAAACTTCAGCAATTGTCTGGCCTCAATTCTTGAGTGCTGGGCTTATACATGTGCAC